GATTTTCCAGGTATACGATGAACCGAAGGACTGTAGGAATTTCCCCGCCTAGTACGCCTACCTATGGACCAGCTATTTTTCTGCAGAGACCAGATTTCGTCAGTTTACTGCATGAAAATGAGGTAGTTACATAATATTAATACCCTCTGCGTCTTTAACCGCATACATTTTAGAACGCCCTCGCAGCGTATAATGCTTCACCTATAGTAAAGCATATAGTGCATCGAATACGGAAATGTGGTGAACCGACGGAAAAATATGAAAATAACAAGTGAATTGCAGAGAGCGCAGACGAGCAGACAAAAGAATGTAATTTTCAGGGATTTTGTGGCATTTGTGAATTTATTTGCGGACGAGACGCAGCCATTGCCATTGAATTGGCAAGCTACTGGGAAAAACCCGGTAGGTCAAAAAGTCATGGGGTGGAATTCCACTTTTTGTGATCATTGATTTTTTCAGACTATATTTATCGATCACTCTACGAGACGCACTACCCTTATTGATCCACGGCTACCTATGCCAACTCTTGACAGAAAACGCGGACGAAGTGCTCCACCAGTTCGACGCCAAAACGTAAGAACCTTTATATGATAATCGATAGAATCAATATCGATTTATTTAGCTCGACAAAAATGGCAACCTATTGGACCTTGCAAGTAGAACAGCAGAAATAGCGTTGCTTGTAGAAGAACGATTGCCTGAGCTGGCACCAAAAATTAGGAAAAAATTGCGGCTCATCGAGCGTTTGGGTGCAGTAGCCCTGGCGCGACTCGCGAACGATGTGGATCTGATCACGGCTATAAGGTGTGTGACAGCAAGTGAACTTCATTTTCTTGATTGATACAGTATGATTACAGTATTCTTGACTCTGATGACCAAGTTGGCTCGAGCGAATTAGAAGAAAAACTCAACCACTTTTATGCATCACTTCACCGAAGCGGTTACGGTAAAGGACCGCAAAAGATCAAGTTGGTCATAGTATTATACTTTCAAACTTTCTCTATAAAAGAAAATGTCCGTATTTGCAGATTTCGATTCAGTCGCGCAAACCTTCTTCAAGATGCTTTTGAACAAATTTTGGCTGCTGATCCATTGTCGCTAAGAAGAGCACGGCTTTCGATTGCCTTCGATGATGAGGAGGGGTAAGTTTCACGCGATCCTCATGAGTGATTAACGAAAACTGATCCTCAAACCAAATCCTTGTGCTTTTATAGTCTGACTACCTCATCTATGTAGTGAGCTGATGTGTATATATGGCTGGGTGACATGTATCAAAAAGTAATTTAGCTGAAAATGGAAACATTAACTATGTTATTTTTGAAACCCATCCAAGCTTCATAAAACTTACAAGGGAAGGAAGGTTGGTCAAAGTGGCCTTCTGAGATG